TGCCTGTAGCTGGACTCATCATTGTTTGTGATGCATCCCACCACCGCTGTATCATCTGCAAACTTTACAATGTGACAGCCTGGATGGGTAGCTGCACAATCATACGTGAGCAGAGTAAACAGGAGGGGGCTCAACACACATCCCTGAGGGTGTTCAAGGTTATGGTGGTGGAGGAGAAGTTGTGGATCCTCACTAACTGTGGTCTGTTTGTTAAGAAGTCTAGTACCCATTTACAAATGGAGGGGCTTAGTCCTAGTGTGGATAGTTTGTCCATCAGGGTATCAGAGGGTTTTATGGTTTTCTGAAGAATGCAAACAGTACTGGGAAACACGGTTCACAGTTTTACAGCAGAGAAGGAGCCAAGCGTTCAGAAAATCCAACAGATTTTTCAGTGAAGGGGACAAAAACAAAATGTTTTTGGGCAGAGCTGCTTTGGCAGAAAAAAAGGACCTACCGTACTTAATATTTGGATATTAGTCACAATGTTTTGACAAGTTGGTACAATCAACACAAGAACGTTTCTCAAAAAAAAAAAACTGCAAAACATAACATTGTTCTCTCATTAATTTACCGTATTTTCCGGACTACAAATCATCTTTTTTTCATAGTTTGGACAGTCCTGCGACTTATAGTCTGAAGCAACTTATATACGTTTTATTTTCCCTATTCATAATGCAATTTTTGACTGATGCATTAAATGTTCATTCATACTGACATGAACCAAAGAAAAAACATTGCCATTTGCAGCCACGAGAGGGCCCTCTAGGCTTTTGACAACTATATGTTGTTCCTCTACAGCTACACCACCCACCCCACCCCCAAACATTCACTTCTTGGAGACAACTGAGAAAAACTTAATACAAATAAAATGCCCACAAAAGTGATGTGGAATGAAATTGGTGAATTTACCAGTAACTTCCTTGTCGGACTTGTTGGCTTGTTATGTTATTTAAGCCTGTTCAGGATCCCAGGTATGTTCTCTGTGTCAATGTGATTTCAGATTAAATGTCTGTTCTTGCACTTTGTGAAATACACTACTAAATAAATGCAACTTATACTCCGAAGCGATGTATAGTCCGGAAAATATGGTAATTGCATTCAGGTCTTTTGAAGTGAAGTTCTGTGAAAAGGTCAAACATTTAATATCTTACCTGTTTTAGATAGCTCTCTGAATGAGCTCAGTTTAGGAAAACGTTTAACGTTCTGACTGATTAACCAGTTAAAGGCCAGTCTGAGAGGGGAAATACCAAACTGGATTGATGTATTAAAGCTCAAACATTTCATAGCAGTTCATGTAAATTATATTTTAAACACTTTTTACATTGTCACCAATTTGGTTTACACACCTATTCTGTAAAAACAACAACAACAACAAAAACAAAAACAGATTATTACAGCTGGAAGTGCCCCAGGCTGCACCACTTGTGCTACAGCTAACTATAAACAGTTGTGTAACTATTTGTGTAATAAAACATTTACAAAGCCAAGGATTACAGAATTGTGTTCACATGAAATGCAGTTGTTGTTTTTTTTTGGGCATTGGAGTTGTTTTAGGATGAAAGCCATCCACTTTGAACTGGGCCCCACTGGGACCAGCCATTAGCCCATCAGGTTGATCAGAGCATAGTGGAGTCAGACAACCAAGTTCTTAGCTTTTGTAGATTTCCACTACTTTACAGGTGAAAAATGACCTGGACTCATTTAACATCTTACCTCCACATCAATCTGGTTTCAGGAAACAACACAGCACAACCACTGTTTCACTGAAGGTTCTTAATGATTTTGTTGAAGCACTGGATGCTAAGGATTATTGTGCTGCACTTTTCTTAGACCTGTCTAAAGATTCTGACTCTGTGGATCAGAACATCTTGTGTCATAAACTCTCAGAAACTGGTTTCTCAGAACACACCATTGGTTGGTTCTCTAACTATCTCAGACCGGAGGCAATGTGTTCAACATAATGGTACTTCCTCCACTTATTTAACAGTCAACAATGGTGTACCACAAGGCTCAGTCTTAGGACCCACCCTCTTTACAATCTACATACATAATGTAGGTTAAAACATCCCTAATGCATCCATACATTTCTATGCTGATGACACAGTTGTTTATTGTCGAGCTAAAACAGTTGCTAAGGCTTTCCAGCTTTTGAAATCTGCATTCAACATCATCCAGACTGATTTGTTCCGCCTCAAACTTGTCCTAAATGCCGACAAAACCAAAGGGATGCTGTTTTCAAACAGGAAGTCGGTCCCAGCAGTTTTACCTTTAATTTTATCCTTGAACGATGCACCTGTTTAGTTTGTTGATTCCTATAAATATTTGTGTATCTTGGTCGACTCACATCTCTCTTTTAAGCTCCATGTGGAAAACTTGGTAAAGAAACTGAAAGTTAAACTGGGTTTATTTTTCAGAAACAAATCCTGTCTAACCCTGAATGTTAGGAAACTCCTTGTATCTGTGACTTTCCTTCCCTCCATTGATTACGGTGACATTATTTACATGAACGCTCCTACAAGAACCCTGCAGATGTTGGATGCTGCAGATGTTGGATGCTGTCTATCATGGTGCACTAAGATTCATAACTGGCTGTGATTATCGTACCCACCACTGCACCCAGTATTCACTGGTTAACTGGTCACCATTAACTTCACACAGTCACTCCCACTGGTACATTTTCATCTTTAAATCACTTCTTGGTCTGCTGCCTTCATACATCTCCTCCTACATGTCTCTGTGTGAGTGCAGCTACAGCGTGCGCTCTCAGGACATCATTACCTGCAGTGTTCCCTCAGTGAGGACTGAACTAGACAAAAGGACCTTCTCCTACTCCGCTCCTGTTTCCTGGAATATCTTACAAAAAGATCTGAAGCTCTCGACCTTTGACCTCTCTAAGTGGCTTTAAGAATCTGTTGGACTCCTGGCAGGGACCGATGCAGACATGTTCCTGTTGTTAGTTTTCTACATTTGTCTTAGAATCTAGCTGTTTTTTGTTACCTTTTTCTTTGAGCCATCCTATTTGTTTAAAAAAAAAACTGGAGTATGACTTTTTATAACTGTTTATTGTTGTTGCTGTTGTCCATTGTTGTCATCTTTCTTTGTTGAAATCAGGTCTCTCTTGTAAATGAGTCCTCGAGGCTCAATGTTATTTACCTGTCTAAATAAAGGTTGAATGAAAAAACCTTCTACTTTACTGGGCAATAAATGTAGCTCATGTGACAGAACTGCACTGAAGTGTTTAAATGCCTAAATACTTTGCTCTGTTAGGTAAATAACTTATATTACACATTATACAAAAATCTTGCATAAATATGAATTAAAATTTTATCAAACTGGATGAATATCACCATTAAATGGCCTGATGGGTCTCATGCAGACATCATCCATCCATCATTTTTGTCCACTTCTTCCTTTTTGGGTCACGGGGGTCACTGGTGCCCATATCCAGCAATCACTGTGCGAGAGGGGGGAGACACCCTGGACAGGTCTCCAGTCCATCACAGGGACACAAAAAGACAAATGAGACAAACAACCATTCACTCTCTCTCTCACCTAGAGTCAATTTAGAGTTACCAGTCAGTCTAACATGCATGTTTTTGGTCTGTGGGAGGAAACTGGAGTACCTGGAGAAAACCCACACATGCACGGAGAGAACATGCAAACTCTGCCCAGAAAGGCCCCGCGCCAGGATTTGATCCAGTAACCTTCTGTATTATGAAATTCTTTATCAAAAGGGCTCGTGAAACGGTCGGCACATATTCAGACAAATAGGGAAAAATAAAAGACAGAAGCTGTTACTGCTAGGAGTAATAAGTGTCCTTTATTAACCTGCCACAGAAAACAGCCAAGCAAAAAAACATGTGTACACTCGTACACTCTTAACACACAGATTGATATGAAATAACTTCTCACCGTGACACTGGCCGGGAAGTCGTTTTCGACCCAGGTAAAGAAGAATCACATCAAAATGGCGCATGGCACCAGCGCGCGGCTGATCCATCACAGGACTTCCAAAGATTAAGTTGCCTGTCACACTTCCTTTATACCTTACCGGATCGCGTGAGAGCAGTGCAAAACAAGTTTGATGGTTACCAGAACAACGGATCTAATTAAACCATCATCAAAGCGATGGCTCATCCTTCCAGTAAGGAGCGCCTGTGACCGTAAAAGCGGGCCAAAGCTTCCAGGTCAAGAGCACTCCTAATGCTTATTAAAGCATTCCTAAAGAGCACCCCTCCGTCCCTTCTGCAAACCATCAAAGAGTGTCTAAATATTATAAGCAACACACACACAAAGTATATGTTTGAACAGGCATAAAGGCGACCCAACACCTCATAAAACATAATACAAAATACAATCCCTAATATGTGAATAACACGTTGTATAAGTGTGTTTTCAAACTACATGTAAATGAGTGATAAATTGACATAAAAGCATTAAAATAATCATTTCTATATCACCTTCTCACTGAGAGGCAACAGCTCTACCAACTGAGCCACTGTGTCACCCCTCTTGCAGAAATATTTTCCAAAAGGAAGAAGCAGGTAAAAATAATGGATGGATGAATGGATGGATCTCTATGTCCATCCTGGTCTTGGAACACTGGACTAGCTCTTTACCCTTTCTTATCCTTGATGATGCATGGGAGCTCGCCCAACCTGTCAACATGTTTTGTGGACTGGCCAGCTGGCCAAAGTACCTCTGTTTGTAAGATGGTCACCTGGAGGCTCAAAAGTTAGTTTTCATGAGAAGTGGGTGTGGCCTTTTGAAAGAGAGGTAAGCGACACAGTGTTGCTTCACTCGTACTCACCAAGTTGCGGTCATTCAAAGAGCTTTAGCACAGGTAAGATATTTGTACATAACCTTTTCACAGTACTCCACTTCAAATTATATGAACCATCACTATGAAGCTTTTTTAGATTTCTAAAAGCTTTATACTTTTTTTAAGCATCAAAGGTTGGGTTTGTGACTGCCATGGTCTTTGTGTTGTTTTGGCCCTGTGATTAACTGGGCTTCACACAGACAACCTTATTGGTATCTGGCCTTTCAGTGGCACCAGCAAATCACCCACAATGGAAGGAATCTGTCACATTCATGCATGAATAACAGTCTGCTCCACCAATCAATTTATTAAGCTGCAATTTTCCTAATTGCATGTGGATTGATTTGATAAGATGCAGCTGTCTGGTGTTCAGCTATAAATTCCTCTGAGTGACCTTCATGGCCCAAAAAAAGCTTATAATCTTCTTGATTAATAGCTATGATTGCATATGCTGGCAAATATTCACGCTGCAGTAGAGCACGATGAGGGGATAAACAGTTTTACCTGCGCAGAAGATACGGAGCTGCTGAGTAGGTGACACGAGGTTCAGGTGAGTGGTGAAGAGGTCCACAAACGCACCTGGATACAACACGAACACAAAGATCCCGAAACCGTTTACTCTCACCTGCTCCCTGTGGAGAGAGAAACGGTTTAAGATTAAAGAGATGCCCAACTGTAACAAACAAACAAGCATCCATTATTTTTAAATGAACAGCAAATGGAAAAAAGCGAGATAAGTGTTATTTTTCATATAATTATTATTTCTTATTCTTATGTATTTTGCAACATTTTTAATCAGTTTGAAATTAATGACATTTTAGGTTCAAGATACATATATACATATATATATATATACATATATATACATATATATATATAGATACATATATATACACATATATATACATACATATACATATACATATATATATAAATATACATATATATACACATATATATACATACATATACATATACATATATATA